TACCTACAAGGTACCAAGAAAAGAATTTAATACAAGAAAAAAAATTGGATCTAGTTTAACTTCTTTGTCTATAACAGTAGAGTTACTGCTAGATAATGACAAAAGCAAAAAGAGATCTTTTCCTCATTTGTTAATCTGCCAGTGGGCTAAGAATCACAGGGTTGATGAAAGCCTTAGTTAAAAACATCCTTTAATTTTAATATTTAGAGAGATTAATCTCTTCCAGATTAAATACCTGCATTTTCTTTCTATTTTAGATGGTCCTCATTATATGTCTTCCTTGTCATACATGGCAGACAGTAGCCTGAGTGAGGAAATGAGTCAATTTGATTTCTCAACTGGAGTCCAGAGCTATTCATACAACTCCCAAGACCCTAAATCTACTGCTGGTCATTTTCGGCGACGGGTAATCACATTTCACATATTAAAAGAATATTGTTGGGGTTTGTAGAGAAGAGGGTCTGGGTCACAGCTATAGCCTGTCATTACTAGGGGAAGTCAGTTCTCTATTAGTCATCTTTGGAGAGTTAATCTTGACAATTTTCCAAGATCTAAGGTTCAGACTTTTATCCTGCTGACTCAGCAGATTTCCTTAACACAGGAAGGAAGTCAGGAGGCCAGGGGTCAAGGCAGAGAGATAATCTGGCTATAAGTGTAACCTCAGGGGAGTGACTGCACCGACAGTAGTGGGGATGAGTGACCTGAGGTGCTACCCCAGGGGAGTGGTTAAACAGATGGGATCTGGGAGAGAATATGTACCTGGAAATGTAAGAAAAACTTGGAAGTCCTATTTACTTCTTAGTTGTTTACTAAGAAAATATATCCAAGTGAATTTGATTATTATTACCAAATTTTCGAGCACCTTATGTCCACTGATGTTTAAAAGTACACCTCACATCATTCAATTCTTCCCTTTCCGCAGGAACGTCAAGACACTAAGATCCAAGAGGATATCTTGGAGTTAGAGATGGATGAGCTCAATCAACATGAATGTATGGCAACCATGACAGCCCTGATTAAACACATGCAGAGAAATCTGAGCTCACCCAAAGGCGAAGAGGTGTTTTTTTTACTAATGTACTGTCTGTGGTGATATTATTTATTGATGTCATATTGAGAAGGAAATTTTCATGTTGAAGACTAAACTGCACTGCCTGTCAAACATTTTTGCTGTCCATGTCTTAATTTGTCATTTTCTTATATCAAAATGTGAGATTCTTTTATTCCACTTTTTAAGGTAGTTTTGTGTTTTATTTCAGAGTTCAGTGTCAAAAGATCTTCCTCCTTGGATGAAGTTTCTTCATGACAAACTAGGAAATCCAGCGGTACCATTAAATATTCGTCTCTTCTTAGCCAAGCTTATTATTAATACAGAAGAGGTAAATAAATTATTTCTTTAATAATTATTATAGTTCTATGCATCTGCTTTAAAAAATACCAAGTAAAATAAGCTGTAAAGGGAAAGAGTATGGCATCTTTATTCTGGTAATAAGTTAGCAAATTATATTTATCTACTTGTTCAACACTTTTTTTCTTAAACATGTAAATTAACCTCTATTTTTTTGTTTGTTTGTTTTCTTGTACCAGGAATCAAACTCAGGACCTTTCACTTTCGAGGCAGGTGCCGGAACCACTGAGCTAAATCTCCGGCCCCATCCTCTATTGAATTAGAAATGAACTTTGCATAGAGTATATATGGCAACTTTCTTAAAGCTTTTGTTTTTTTTTTTTTTTTTGGTACCAGGGATCAAATTCAGGTCCTTGCGCTTGCAGGGCAGGCGGTGAAACCACTGAACTAGATCCCCAGCCCAACTTTCTTAAAGCTTAAGGCTTTCTTAAGACTTCTCTGTTTATAATAGCATAACAATGGGTGAAGACATTTTTGTTAAAATGTATGAAAAATAGCTGTATGAAAAATAGCTGATTTTCTCTTAGGTACCATGTTTTCCCAGAAATAAGAGCTAGCTGGAAAAGTCAGCCTTGAAAACGAGATATCAAACCTGCCTTACAGAGTAGCCACTGAGCACGAGAACAGTGATGGCAGTTAAGGCAAGGATAGGCTGATTGGGGGCTGGCATTTTTTCCAAGCCTGATTATTTTCTGGCTAACTCTTATTTTCAGGGAAAGTATATTAGTTTACATATAGCACACACCAGGGGAGAGTTAAGTAGATTTTGGAGAGGGCCCTTGAGCTAAGCGTGGTTAAGTGCATTGGGAGTTTGTGTTCTGTGTAGAAGTAGTTGTCTGAGCAGAAATGACCCCTGAGAGAGCCAGTATGTCTGTACTGATCACATGGACTATGGGGGCCTGGTCTAGAGGAGAGACATTCAAGGGACTGGTAAGGTGGGCCGGCCACCAGGGCCCTTCCAGTGAGTCTGGCTCATTTGTTGAGTAGCAGGGAGCCACTGAAGCCCTCTAGGTAGAGAGGTGACAGTAGGAGATTTGTCCAGTAGCATCTCTCTAGGCAATTTTGCAGATGTAAGTAGAGAGGCTGCCAGGGGCTGTGGCAAGGAATGCTTTCCTTTGGTTCTTGCTAGAGTTTTAGTTCCTGAGGGTCACAGGTATAAACAACAGGGCTTAAACAATAGTTCTGTAGACCAGAAGTCTGAGATCCAGGTATCATGGGCATTCTTTCCTCTTTTTTTTTTTTGGTACCGGGGATCGAACTCTGGACCTTGTGCTTTCTAGGCAGGCGCCAGAACCACTGAGCTAAATCCTCAGCCTGGCATTCTTTCTATATGAGTGCTTTTAGGGGATGTCTGATCCCAGACTCTCCCCACTTCTGTTAACTTCAGGCATTTGGGCATGTGGGTAGCATTCTTGTTTTCATGGTGTCTTCCCCCATGCATTTCTCTGTGTCCAAATTTCCCCTTTTTATAAGAATACCTACATATATGTATTGGATTAGGACCCACCCTAATGACCTTATTTTAACTTATTTACCTCTGTAGAATCCTGTCTCTAGTTGAATGTGGTGGCACATATCTCAGATCCCAACTACTCTGGAGGCTGAGGCAGGAGGATTGCAAGTTTGAGGCCAGCCTGGATAACTTAGTGAGACCCTGTCTCAAAATCAGAAAAGTAGTAATATTAAAAAGGAATCAGGATGTAGCTCAGTGATAGAGTGAGCATTTGCCTAGCATGCATAAGGCTCTGTGTTCAATCGCCAGTACTACAAAAACTGCCTCCAAAAAAAGTCACATTCTGAGACTTTATGTGGAGGACATACCTTTTTTGGGGACACAGTTCATTCCATAACATTTAGGGGCACAGTATGATTTCTAGTTCATGTGCCTCCTAGTACTGACTTGACAGCTATTGAAAAGGAGCTGGATGTTTTTTGGATAATCTCTCAGTGGGCCTGGACATGGGAGGTTGGCTGACAGGGAAGTCTGATGCACTTGGTGTGCACATGTGGGTGTGAAGCTTCTCTAGGTCATCCTTGGGTCACATCATGGAGCTATGTATGTACCTGAAGCCTGTTGTGTCAGGGAAATGGTTCCCAAAAGGCAGTGTTCTAAACAGTCTTTGTCTTATGGAATAAAAGACTTATATAAAAGAACTTATATTTATAAAAGAACTTATATTTTCATTTATTTTTAACATTTTAAGTATTTGTTATAGTTTAATAACATAGTAAAGAAGTCTATATATGCTATTTATAAATAAGACTGTATAGACCTACACAGAGTGTGCTGATTTTTTTGTTCTTACAGGTGATGATCAAAAAAATATGTGGGATCCCACAGATTAAGCTATGAGAGTAGATGAGAAATCCCCTAGAAAATGTATTTGAGAAAGAAAGTGTGGAAAGGTTAAGAAGGAAGATAGCTTGGATTATAATGTTTAGTCTTGCTTTCCAAGCTCATTCTAAAAACAAAAAGAAAAAAACTGAAGTGACATTCTCCTGCAATCCCTAAAGTGAATTCAATGGAATTTAGTACATGGATACCATCTTATTTAGATTTCAGAGATCTTAAGCATGTGAAGTTTATAAAAGAATGACTTCTAACATAGGAACAAATGAAAAAATTTAGGCTCATGTGCCTACCTGATTTTTATAGCCTTATTTTTCACATTTCTTATGGATTTGTATAAAGTAAAAGAATTTTCTATAGATAACTTATTACTCAGGTGGGACAGAGAGGGTTTATATAGAATACTTTGAATCTATTTTAAGTTTAGGACAAGTCATAAAATTTTAGCTAATAGAGGATATATTTCTGTATTAATATTTTGGTGGTTTGGGGGTTTTTTTGGGGGGGGGTACCGGGATTTGAACTCAGTACCTTGCGCTTGGGAGGCAGGCAGTGGAACCACTGAGCTAAATTCCCGGCCCTGTATTAATATTTTTTTGATTCAGAATGATTCTTCCATATTTGACTTTTTAAATTCTGTTTTAGGTCTTTCGTCCTTATGCAAAGCACTGGCTTGGCCCCTTGCTGCACCTGGCAGTTGCTGAAAACAGTGGGGGAGAAGGAATTCACTACATGGTGGTTGAGATAGTGGCTACTGTTCTTTCATGGACAGGCGTGGCTACCCCTACAGTAAGGAATGATGTATCTATTATGTAGTAGGTTATTCCTTTGCTGATACCCCAGACAGAATAGGGCAGCTGATTTACTGTTCTTAATGATGGAGTCACTGTTTTGCAGTAGTTGTTATATGGCTGTGCTGCTCCTCTGCTACATGGCTCACACTGCTTGCATTTGTTTTCTTTTACCTGTTTTTGATAATTCCTCTAACCTTGCTTGTCAGGTGTGTGTTTCTTTTTTGTTGCCATTATTTGTTAGGAGCTTAGAAACTAGATAATAGATGTACTGAAATTATGTGTAAAATAGATCTTAATAGATCCTGGATGTGAGGTTCTGAAGACTTCTGTGGTGACTGAAGTCTGAATTTTTTACCTTTCTTTACCGGTTTATTTACTCCCAGAGCATTGGCTGTCATCTGTGATTGTAGCAATTGCTAAGTAACTATCATATGACTGCCAATTGTGCACTGAGCAGGCATGCCATCTACCCAAATAGATTTATGTGTATTGGAACTTTGCCTGTTCATTTAACACCAGGAACTCTGACAGTGTACAAAGGTCTTTATAGGACATTGTGTGCATAGTCCATATTAAACATAATATAGATATGTGTAACTTTTTAATGCATTTGTTTCTGGATGTGTCTGTCATTTATTTCACAAAACCAAATCTAGATTTCTTAGTCTTTTTTTACTTATTAATACATATTGATTATACAGATAAATGGGTTTCATTTTCGCAGATTTATAAATGTACATAACATATTTAATCGTTTTCCCTCATTACCTCTTTGCCCCACCCTTTTTGGGGGGATGGTGTTCAATATGTATAATATATTTTGATCATTTGTTTTTGTTCTTTTGAGATGATCTTGCTTTTTATCCCAGACTGGCCTCCAATTTGTGATCCTTCTACCTAAGCCTCCAAAGTGTCAGTGTTGCACCATGCACCGCCATGCCTCCCTAATTTCTTTGTCTTCATGTGATAAAATAATTTATAGTCTAGTAACATGGAAAAAATAAGAAAAATATGGGCCAGGGATTTAGCTCAGTGATTCCACCGCCTGCCTCGCAAGCGCAAGGTCCCAAGTTCTATCCCCAGTACCATAAATAAATAAGTAAGTAAGTAAGTAAGAAAAATAAATCCTGGGTTCTGGTGGGAACAGGTCTTCCTGGGGTTTTTTCCTGCCCCATTGTAGGGCTCAGCAGAGACTCTTGAAGAAGCTTCAGATAAAGGGACCTAGGAAAAGAGGTTCTGGCCTAGGAGACAGATAGGCAAAGAACAGGCTAGCCAGGGTGAGTGCCCATGCAGGTCCCTCAGACACCGCAATGTGTAGGCTGTGCCCAAGTCTGTGCGGAGTCAATGTCCGCCACAGCCTGCCAGGGAAGGTCAGTGGTTGGCCCTAAAAAATTAGCAAATACTAGGTTTCTTTTAGAAATAAACTTTTGGGTTAAAAGATGCTACAATGGAATACTTCATGTTAATACAAAATTTCTGTGCCTTTTCAGGGGGTCCCTAAAGATGAAGTGTTAGCAAATCGATTGCTTCATTTCCTAATGAAACATGTCTTCCATTCTAAAAGAGCTGTGTTTAGACACAACCTTGAAATTATAAAAACCCTTGTTGAATGCTGGAAGGATTGCCTCTCCATCCCATATAGGTATACATTTACTAATTTTTGCAGTATTGTTTAGAAATTTAGATTAAAATGAAGCATGTTGTGAATGGTGGTTGCAACAAAATGTAATTACATAAAATGATAGAATAAGGAACATTGTTTGAAATAGAGTTCATTTATAAGGGGATAAAACCAGTCTTCAGAGTTTGATGCCAGAAATGGGTCTAGGTGGACAGTGCCTCCAGTATGTCCCTCGGCTCAGCTCCAACTGTGCCTATACCATACTGGGCAGTTGGGGTGCACTCTTCCCTGGATGGCCTCACCTCAGGGGTGTCCTGTAAGGACTTTTGTTTGATTCATTTTAGCATAGCCTGAGGAAAGCTAAAATTTAACACTCAAAAAAAGTTTCATTGTCAACTAACAAAGGATTTGGGCAGATATTTAAAATATAAGAAATATAAAACTCCCTATGTTACAAACTACATTGACCCAGACGTGAACAAGGGGGAGTTAGCAAGAAGAGTCTTGGGTATGGAAAGAAAAAAGTATTCCTTACACTTTTAGCTGAAAGGTAGCTTTAGAAAATACTGTATTTGTCTTACTGCTTCTCATTTCATTGAATGACAATTTATTTTCTCTTTTGTTCTTATGTTTCAGGTTAATATTTGAAAAGTTTTCCAGTCGAGATCCTAATTCTAAGGACAATTCTGTAGGGATTCAATTATTAGGAATTGTAATGGCCAATAGCTTGCCTCCCTATGACCCAAAATGTGGCATAGAGAGTACTAAGTAAGTGTCATATTTTTTGCTTTGCTCTTTTTAAGCTAATGTCTACCTGTATTGGACTGGCAGAGTAGAGCACGGTTCAATGTTAATACATTTAAGGACTAGAAGAATATGTTAGAAATTTTTTTTCTGTTTTGTTTTTGTGATACTGAGGACTGAATCCAAGGAACAGTGAACTACTTCCCCAACACCTCTCTCCCTCTCTCCCTCCCTCCCTCCCTCCCTCCCTCCCTCCCTCTCTCTCTGCCTCTCTCATCATCTCACCTAAGCTCACCTAAGTTGCCCAGGTTGGTCTTCAACTTGGCAATCCTCCTGCCTATGCCTCCTGAATAGCTGGGATTATAGGTGTACACTACTACTCTTGGTTTTAAAATCTTTCTACCTAACATTAAAGGCTTTGTTTAGAGGTCATTTGAGAGAAGTAATATATCTAGAGTGAATAAGCAATGTAGGTTTTTAAAATTAGCACTTTTTTAATGTATGTGTTATCAGGTAAGAGGTGTTAGATTCAGTTTCCTCCAGTCTTCTCCGCCCCAATCCCAACCTGTCCTTCCCTGAGCCAAGATATTTACTTCTTCAGGATGGGGTGGACATGATTTGTGAAGAGAAGAATCTCTACAGATTTAGTTTAAAACATCACAGAAGGTATTTCCTCCTACTACTACAGTATTTAGAATTTTGAAGTCAGTATTCACACCATGTTTGCTGTGTAGGCTTCAGCCCTTCCCTTCGGACTTCCTCACCTCAGCAGGGTGATGTCAATCACTGGGGTTGACTCTCCTTATTGGCCTCCTAAAACCAGTCACTAGCTGCTGGTATCATAGACAACATGTGGCCTGAGGGCTGAAACAGTGGTAGCTCAGCACATTGAGGTGGGAACCGGCTCACTTGTAGACCATGTTTGTTACCTTGTTGAGCTTCCAGCCTCACAGTCTCTGAAGGTTGACAGTGAATGTGTCGCTGCCCAAGGAGTCTTCTCACAGAGTCTGAGCCTTCTCTTTCCCATCATCATACTGTCTTTGTCCTGTCATAGCCGATGGCTTTAGAAAGGGAGTCAGTACCTTGCTGGCAGTCTTGGATAGTCGCTGTGTCCTTCATTGTGGTTTTCTCTGGTGTTCAGCAGAGGGTTTTACTCTATCCACAGAGGTCCCCTAGGATAAGACAGTGGACTTTCTTAGAGACATAGTCATACCACGTAGTCATTTAACCAACTTGTGTTTCTTTTAGGTGCATATTTTCTCAGTTTTGCTATTAATATGTATGAGGAGGAGGACTGTTATATTTTTATGTCAAATGTCAGAATGGATTAGTTTATGCATATTTGTTTTTGGTATTTGTTGTAGATACTTTCAAGCTTTGGTCAATAACATGTCCTTTGTAAAATATAAAGAGGTTTATGCTGCAGCTGCAGAAGTTCTAGGACTTATTCTTCATTATGTTACTAAGAAAAAAAATGTAAGTGTGTAAAAAAATTCTAAATGCTTTACATTTGCATGTATTTTTTATATGCTGTTTCAGACAAACTGGGCATCTATTAATTTATATATTAATAAAGTATGTTCATTAAATTTTTATTGTCTTTCCTATTATATACCAGATACAATGCTCAGTTTTTTTTAAAAGGACATAAGACTTTTAAACACCAGAAATCTTGGCAAACATTTAAAAATTGGCATCGTGTGTGTGTGTGTGTGTGTGTGTGTGTGTGTGTGTGTGTGTCTGTGTGTGTTTAGTACTGAGGATCAGATCCAGGGACTTGAGCATGCTAGGCAAGTGCAAGCACTCCATCACTGCGTACATTCCTAGCCCTATAACTGACTTTATTTTAAAAATCAAGATGATAGTGTTGAACCAGCTTTGATTCATTTCACTTTATTTCCTTTTGGAGAAAATTATCTTGGTGTATAGCTATTGCGGTTAGGACTAAATTGTTGGGGCCAAATCCTCTACTTCCAGTTTCCACATTAATAAAGCTGTTGAACAGGGTGGTACTTCATGAGGGACCTTTCTTAGTCTTGTATGCCTGCAGGCTTTATGAGACTATGATGACAACCTTGAGTATTTTAGTGTGGCACATGTTCAGATTACTTTGTTGCTAAGTAAAAGTTACCTATCAGAGAGGTGTATATGACTGCATGGGCCCATATATGGCGACTATATGCTGTAACTTAACTGAGTAGTGGGCAGAGAGGCTTTCTATACTATATGGTATCCTCTCATGTTAACATAGTGCTGCTGCTGCTGCTAGGAGCACAGCTCTGTGGAAAAGCACTTGCATAGTTTGCATGAGGTCTGGGTTCCATCCCCACCACCAGAAAAAACAAACAAACAAAAGATGCTGTTGTCTTCCCAGGTGGCACAGGCAGCCATTGCTTCCAGGACATTCTCTTGGCTTTCTTCCCATTTCTTTGGTAGTTTCTTTTCTCGTTCCTTAACTGCCTTTCCTCATTTTGGTCTTTTATTTTACTGCTCTCCTGCCCAACTCATCCAGCCTCAAGGCTTTAAAAGCTATCCTTATATCTGTGATTCCAAAGTTTGTATCTTGGTCCAGCAGGATGGAGTCCAGGCCATGGGTGATGTTGGGCTGGGTGAGGAGAGGCTTAGGAAATCCCAGGTGATCCTAAGTGGATACCAAGGAACCTAACTCAGAAAACTAAATCCATTTTCCTGACCACAGATTTATTTGGATTTAGAATAAAATTAAATAAATCAAGGATGTAAGATCAGACTTCAGTTATAATTTATTTTAGAGGTAACCAGCTTTTTTGTGTATGTGCTAAGGATTGAACATAGCGCTTGCCTCTGAGCTACATCCCCAGCTTTTTTTTTTTTTCTTTAAATTTTTGAAACAGCCTCACTTAGTTGCCCAGGCTGGCCTTGAACTTGTAATCCTCCTGCTTCACCCTCCCAAGTAGCAACAGTTACTAAATGTGCACCACTGTACCTAGTTACCAGGTATTTTTGTGTCTTAAACTATATTTAAGTCATATTAAAAGGGAACTAATTTTTAGTTTAGCTTCTCAAAGGATTTGTTTGCAATGTTTCTGTGTCTGAAGGAAGCACATGACATCAGCTCTCAGCACATTTCCTGTGATGTGGCACTGTTTGCTGACCCTCACAGGAACTCAAGGATACCAACCCTCAGAGGTATTCAGTAGTTACTGCAAACTGGTAGCCATTCCCAACACTTCTCGTTTCATCATCTTTGTGAACTTTGTTATAGGTGATAACATTGGATACCTTCCTTGAGTTCACTTAACTAGTCAAGGTAAACCTTTTTCTAGTACTTAACATAAGTTTCCACTTTTGTTTATTTGAAAAGAAACTTTATTTTTCAGATACTGGAGGAATCAGTCTGTGAACTGGTTGTAAAACAATTGAGGCAACATCAGAATACAATGGAGGACAAATTTATCGTGTGCTTGAACAAAGCAGTGAAGAGCTTTCCTCCCCTGGCAGACAGGTACGGGGCACCGGGTGGCTCTGGCAGGAGGAGATACCCAGGTTGTCAGTGGTCTTCTCACCAGGCGTCCCACCACTTAGGTTTTTGAATGCAGTGTTCTTTCTGCTGCCAAAATTTCATGGAGTGATGAAGACACTTTGTCTGGAGGTGATACTTTCTCGTGCAGAGGAAATATCAGACCTGTACTTGCAGTTAAAGAGCAAGGACTTTATTCAAGTCATGAGACATAGGTGAGTGAACAACATCAAAGTACTGTAAGAAAAAATGTAATTTTTCTATGTATATTGTTATGTATTATAACAAAATTTGAAACTACAGAACAGAAAAAAGAAAATGTTGCTTGACATACTTTGGATATATGAAATAGAAATTACTCAATTTGTGTTTTCAAAAATTTCTTGTATCATAGAGATGATGAAAGACAAAAAGTGTGTTTGGACATAATTTATAAGATGATGTCAAAATTAAAACCAATAGAACTCCGAGAACTTCTGAACGCTATCGTAGAATTCGTTTCCCATCCTTCTCCAATGTGCAGGGAACAAATGTATAACATTCTTATGTGGATTTATGATAATTACAGGTAAGCTATAAGTGGACATTTTATATTATTTTAGTGATTATTTGGGTACCTTTCATAATCTGGGACATAATAAAACATTTTTTACCATATGATTAATAACTAAAATAAATTTATTTCAGTATATTGAATTATATCTTTATTTTAGTCATTTAGCATATAGGAAATATTCAGAAAGTGAAATTATTGGTTGAGTTATAAGTATATGAGTGTCACTGGGCATGGTGATGCACGCCTGTAATCCCAGCACTCAGGAGGCTGAGCCAAGAGGATTGTTGCAAGTTCAAGGCCAGATTGGGCAACATAGTGAGTTCAAGACCAGCCTGGACTACAGTGAGAGACTGTCTCAAAAAACCAAAAAATAAACAAGCAAACAAAAGGATTATATAAATGTCCTCTTATAAATCTTGTTTTTCTTGTTACCCCTATAAGATCTGACAAGTTTAAGAAGTGTCCCTGAATGGAACAAAGCTCCCAGCTGTGGGCTCTTCTGCAGAGTGGGGTGGCCCTTATTCTATATAAAAGGAGGTATAGTGTCTTAAGCTCAGTCAGCTCAAGGTCAAGTTAGCTTGTTTGTTCTTGTCAGTCACATCACCAAGCTCTATCCACAGTTACTTTACTTATTTCGCCTATCTTATATTTGTGTGTGTGGGAAACAAAGGCCCAGCCTTCATTTCAAGCTTACACAATCTTTTTGGATCAGGGTATTGGCTGTTTCTGCACCCTCTTCCCCACCCACCTTTACACATGTACACAGCTTTTTGATTTCTGCAATTTGTGAAATATGTGCTCTTTCTTCAGCTTAAGTTCTTTACCTAAATGCATGCCCTCAAAATCTCTCTCTTTAGGATTGCTTTCCAGGACACCAAAATCCCCCTTTTAGTCAGAAAGTCCCTGTATGAATCTGAAAAATTTGAAATCATCCCTACCCCCTCGCTCAAATGTACCTCCACATATTTATACAAGATTTTGTGTTGTATAACTCTAAATACCCTATTACTTAGCAGTTCCACTCATAGGTATACACTCAAGAGAGATGTGAACATATGCCCCCAGGAAGTCTCATCCCTTGGGCATGTCCTGCCCTTACCAAGCCCTCTCCTAGCAGGCCAAGGAACACTGAAAGGGAGGTCTGAGACTTGGACACACAACACCAGCAGGCCTGCAGTACTCTTGGGTGTTACAGTCCAAAGGAAAAGCCAGGCTTTTTACTTTAATTCTAGACACTGATTAGGGTTGAATAGAAAGGCTAGGACAGAGTATTAATATTTTGTCATTTTGTTATTTTTTCAAACAGAGATCCAGAAAGTCAAAAGGATGATGACTCCCAGGAAATATTTAGATTGGCAAAAGATGTGCTGATTCAAGGCTTGATCGATGAGAACCTTGGGCTTCAGTATGTGCTCCTCCCAGGATAATTGGGCCAAGCCAATTAAGTTTTAGGGATATTGCTTTCTAGAATAGCTTCAAGTATTTTCAGTAGTTTTGGAAATGTATTTGTAGTATTAGCATTTTCCGTGCCTCCTGCATTTCATGTTTAGTAAAAATATATTTAAAATCATAGTCAACACTATGAAGGGTAAGACTTAAAAATGTTTGTATTAGCTACTTTACTAGTTACTTTAACATAAAACTTGAAAAAGGTGTAAGGACAAAGCACTATCTGCTAGTGCAGTGAGTTAAAAAGTGGTTTACAATGAAAAGAAAATCAGTAATGATCTGTTTCCTTTAACAGAAATAGTTGAGATTATACTGTTTATTAATATTGAAGTGTTTAAAACATTAGAGATAGAAAATCTTAATGCAGCTCTATATGGAAGTATGGATGATGATTTTTGTTCTCTAAACTGCCTGTTCTAACTCAGTTGTATCAATGTCTTATCAAGTACAATTATGTAAGAAAAGGTATAAACTTACTGTACAATTTGATATAATTTATTTTTTCATTCTATAATTTTAAATTCACTGGGCTTTTAAAATATGTTCATAAATATTCAAATTAAAGTATAAACCTATTTAATTTCAGTTTTAAATATTTTTAGGAGTAATTTTTAGAATGCATTGCAAAGCAGTGAAGGATATGTATTTTTTCAGTTTCAAAATTGCTGTATACTCACTAAAAACTTAGAGATGAGAAAAGAAAATCATCCAGTTTCTTATCTTTTGCTAAATATGCTACATTTGGAGGATCTCCCCCTTCTTTAAAGCAAATTACTTTTCATAAGGCATATTATACCCGTTACACAGTTTTGGATGTGGTTTCCCTTTCGGTGAAGCTTTCTGGGGGTAGGAAGCTATGCCTTACCCACAGGATACCTTGTGCAGCACTCTCTTTCGTGTTTAAGCATGTGCATGTGCTTTCTTCCTCCCTGCTTTTCAGATTAATCATTCGGAATTTCTGGAGCCATGAAACCAGGTTACCTTCAAATACACTGGACCGACTGTTGGCACTAAATTCCTTATATTCTCCTAAGATAGAAGGCCACTTTTTAAGTTTAGCAACAAATTTTCTGCTTGAAATGACCAGCATGAGCCCAGATTACCCAAACCTCATGTTTGAGCACCCTCTGTCAGAGTGTGAATTTCAGGTGAAGTAATTGTCTATCATGATTAATCTTATACACTTTTCTTGTTTGTTGATGAACATCTTCTATTAGCATTAAACTTCAGTCTTAATTGTCTTGGAATGTGCATGCATTCCTTTCTGAGACTCTTGGATGTGCTGTATCCCTCCTCTGGGAGGCTTTCACTCTTTATTCTCTCAGATTCCATTTAGATTTGTTCCCCTCCCATTACTTCTCCTGACTGGGAGATTCCAACTTTGTGATTTGTTATGGCAGCTATAATAGTCACAGTGCTCTACACCTTGATAGACACTCCTTGTGGGCAGGGCTGATTGTGTCCAGTTTATACTGACCTTCCTAGTACTAGGTAAGGATCCTTAGCCAAAATGCTTGGGGCCGGAAGTGGTTTGGATTTCCAATATTTTTGCATACTGAAATATTCCCATATATGTAATGAGATATCCTGGGGAGGAGACCCAGGTGTAAAAACAAGATTTAATTCATGTATAACTTTTTCTTTCTTTTTTTGAGACAGGGGTCTTGCTATGTAGTTCAAGCTGGCCTTGAACTCACTGTGTAGCCCAGGCTAACTGTTAGCTATCCTCCTGCCTAAATGTAATCCAAGTGCTAAGATTACAGGCTTGCACCTCTATACTTCATATACACTTTATACCTATAGCCTGGATATAAATTTATACAGTATTTTTTAGTGGGTCTGCATTTTAACTGCAGCCTGTCACAGGAAGCATCATGTAGCTGCTTTAGAAATTTCAGGTTTGTAGCAGTCTGGATTTTGGATCTTCAGATTAGGGATGCTCTACCTGTGCCTGTCGTGAGCTTAGCATAGATGAGTTCACAGGAGAGCCACATTGTATGATTGTAGCAGGTGTGAAGTAGTGCCATTGCCACTCCTGAGTATGGTGTCACCTTCTAATGCAAAATACAAGGGTAGGAGAATGATTTCTTCCCCAGTAGTGATCAGTTTTCCTACTTTGCAAATAATTGTTTGCTGAAACTTTTTTAGAAAAGATCCTTCGGTCATTTCTCACAAAAAATATGAAATGATAGTACTACCTGCTGAGGGTCTCATGGAATTTTAAATAGAAATATTTTAGTATTGCTATAGAGGAACATTGTATCCTTTTACACTTTCTTACCTGCAGGAGTATACCATTGATCCTGACTGGCGTTTCCGAAGTACTGTTCTTACACCAATGTTTATTGAGACCCAGGCCTCCCCAAGTGCTCTGCAGACCCGCACCCAGGAAGACTCCCTCCCAGCTCAAGGGCCAAAGGCTGGGCAAGTAAGGGCCACTCAACAGCAATATGATTTCACACCCACACAAACTGCAGGTAACCAGCAACTAGACACTCTGACCTTTGCAAACAAAGTCTGTTATAGCAAGAACCTTGACCTTCTGTGAGAGAAGTAAAGTGATAATAGCAAAAATATCTTAAGGACCACAAGAAAGATGTGTTAATCAAAAGAGAAAAAGATTGAGGTTCCTAGAACACTCAGATCCTCTGGAGGAGGGGGGAAATAGGGAGCTGTAATTCATTGTGTACAGAGCTTTAGTTTTGCAAGAGGAAAAGGGTTCTGGAGATGGATGGTAATAATGTGAATGAACTTACTGGCACTGAACCATAGGCTCAAAAATGGTTTAAATGCAAAATGTTACATATATCTTACCACATTTTTTTAAAAAGAAGAAAAAAGGATTACTTTTTGACTAGGAAAACAGGGATGATTTCAGTATATGTGTATTCAGTATATGTAGTATGTTGAGTATATATATGTTTAGTTTTGCACAAAAAAAACACTTCTTAGTGCATCAGATTTGAAGTATTCAAAAGCAAAGTCAAACTAGATCAAACTCATTTACTATGTTTATAGTGTACTAAATTGTTTTTTCTCAAATGCCTGATTCCTTTGATCTGCCTGGTATTAATTGTAGAATAATATACTAATCGTTTTATACATATATAAACACTTCAATTTTTTTTTTTTTTTTTTGGTACCAGAGATCAAACTCTGGACCTTGCACTTGCGAAGCAGGCAGCGGAACCACTGAGCTAAATCCCTGGCCCTTCAATATCTTAACACTTTATATATTTCTCACATTCTGTTGTTTCTAGAAGTAGGACCGATTTCCAGTTAAAATGGAGATTCTGTAATACTAGCATTAGGAATGATGGGACCTTAGCACCTTAGAGTAGATATCAAGCAGAGCATTCCTTTCATAATCACAGAGGCCAGAGGGAGTAGAACACTGAGGCTCAGGTGTCTGGTCTATCTTGGGCCATCCACTGGGATTCTGACAGAACCTCTGTCCAGTGTTGCAGGGGATCAAGGAAGTCTCACTGCCCTGTGCAGCTGTGCTATGTGATGCTCCGCATCCTTACTGTTCTTATCCTATCTTTTGCAGAAGAAAGAAGCTCATTTAATTGGCTGACTGGGAGCAGTATTGACCCCCTGGCTGATTATACGATCTCCTCGTCGTCAACTGATTCTTTGTCTTCTTCCCTCCTCTTTGCCCACAAGAGAAGTGAAAGGTCCCAGAGAGTACCCTGGAAGTCAGTGGGATCTAATTTTGGGGAAAAAAGGCTGAGCCTGCCTGGGGATGAGGTGGATAACAAAGTGAAAGGTAGTAAGTAATTTGCTGAAACACATTTAAAATAACCTATTCTCCAATTAAGTACATTAAAACTCAGTGCAGTAAATGTCTGGGCACCTGCCATGTTGAAAACATTTTTTTTTTAGGTCTTTCTGAAAAACTATTTAAAAAAATCAGTTTCAGAAATAGTGTCAGAAAAACTATTAAGAAAAACTATGAAAAAAATTCATTTAGTGACTTTCTGGAATATTAGGGTAGATAAGCCAATAAATTTCTGATTGTCAGGTAGGGTAGAACTAGCAAACCAAGTCCCACAGGTGAGAGAGAGTAAATCTTGGTGGAGAATGGAGAAAGAATCCAGAAAGACTGGCTGGAGGAGGGGCCGTTGAGAGAAACCTGGGAGCCTGGGATACAGGAAAGGAGAGAATAAAAAGGATGAAGATGAAGAAGTATGCAGTTTATTTGGGAGATGGAAGGGACTCAGAGCAGTTCAGTGAATGTCTACAGAGAGCCAACTCCATGCCAAGACCCCACGCTGACCTTTCACCCTGGCCTCCTGCTGCCCTCACTCCATTCCTAAGCCCATCCGGCCCCACCCACCATCCTTGTTGCATCTTTGTTTCTCCATAGCTGAGCTAGGAGTCACTGAGGTAGTTACAGCTCTGCTGTTCTTCCACTTCTGGAATTGCTCAGCTGTCTGCTCTGCTGCTCCCTGTAGGTTTGTCTTTAAGAAAGCATTAAATAAGCGTTACATTAAAAAGTGGAGATGAGCACATACTTTGACTTTAGGGGATCTGGAAGGAGTTGAAGCCAGTTACCCATGTTGAATTGGGCTGTCAGTAACCAAACCTGCTTCATGTTCTTCAGGCACAAACAACCGGGCAGAAATACTAAGATTACGCAGACGATTTTTAAAGAACCAAGAAAAACTCAGTTTGATTTATGCCAAAAAAGGCATTGTTGAACAAAAACGAGAGAAGGTCTGTATCATTTTCACAAATTTGATTGGTCAGAAACACCTATTTTGTATGTAAGATACGTACAGCTAGTTCCAGTATTGGTATACAAACCACGATTGCAGAAGCAGCACTGTGTGAATTAAGATTAGTTATGAACTGTGGTATCCTCTGACAGCTCTGGCTAGGAACGATACCCATGGCTCCCAGCGGGAATGTTTGTCCTCCTCCATCTGTGGTCTGCCTGGCTCGTGGACTGCCTGGGCCATACTCTGCCTCTTCTCTCCACTGCCCACCACAGCTCAACTTCCCCTCCCCTCTGGAGATCAGCTTTCTCCATGGGTAGACACAGGATCATCAGTGTCCCTCGAATTTGTACTGTAGAGCTGGGAAGGGTTTGGCCTCTCTACCTTAAGGCCAGAGCCTTGGAGAGGGAGTCACAACTCACTTTGGTATGTGGCTTGTAGCCATTGTGAAAGGCCATGGGACAGCAAGGGGATAGCCCAAAGAAGAGGTAGACAAGGCTGCTAGACAGTCCAGATCCGTCTCATGAAAGCTATGATTGGAGACATTAGTATGGCATGAATTGATAGTTATACATTTCTCAAAATGTAGAAATAAAGAATTTGTTAGCTACAGCTTCGATTTTCTTATAAATCAGAAACTGTGACAAAATTTCCAAGAATATTGGCATAGATTGTGAACTAAAACCCTATCATTGTTCTAATCCATTGTAAATCTTCAGTTAACTTCCAAATCTGAATATAAAGTGGATGAATAGTTTCTCTGAATCTTTTTTGGGGAGAAAGTGTACTTTTCCACTTGCTCTTACTGTGTAAATAATTACGATTATTCTTTTAAACTAGAGACCAAAATCAGGGCATGTTCAGGACCATTCCTACTCTGTTGCTTCCTCAGAGAAGTAGCTCTAGGCTCCTGATTAGACCTGAAACCCAACAATTATGGCCTAACGAAAATAGCAATATTTGGTCATCAGAAGGAAGAGAAACCAGGATTGCTAGACAGAAGTCAGAGGAAGAGATTTTGGCCTAATGTAAAGAAGAATTTTGTAGCAGTTGATCAATGTAGGGTGTTCTGCTGCGTGTGCATTCCCTCTGACACAAGCATTTAGGTGTGAACCTGCTGACCAGTAATTAGGAACAGTACAGTCAGATGTCAAAAGGCCATGTTTGTGCTCATGTGCTCATTGAACAGATATGTCTGAAGCATTGCACTCTATGCCAAGTGCTGTGCTAGGTGCTAGCAATGTGAACATTAGCATAATAAAAGTCCTCATGGAGCCTAATCCAGTGTATGTGACAGCCAAAAAGACAAGCTGACACTATAACACTTGTACTTTCAGAAATAAACCAAGTGATGAGCACATCTAGGAAAGACCTGAGTTATGAGAGGTAGTGGTGGAAAACCTCTCTGGAGAGAGAATACAGAGATGGGAACCGAATGATGAGAGACAAAATGAAGACAGATATTCTAGACTGGGATTGTCAGGTGCCCGCTGCTCTGCCTGGTGGGAGTCTGCAGGGACTGAAGGGCACGAGTGTGCGCAGTAGGAGCATCATTCTCAGCCTTGAAGCCAAGGCTTACTCTTATGGGAATTCAAAAGAAACTACAGCTCTCTGATATATGTTTTCAAAAAATTTCAAATCAAATTTTCTTATTTTGTGAATATTCAGATTATTTTTTAATGGATATTTTTAAAACCCTTTCATTGCTCATCTGCCATTATAATTTTATTGTGGATTTATCATTTACTGTAGACTGATAAGTCACAGTGACTAACCAGTGAATAAAAATTAACCATCACTTCACCTTTATGTTAAAGGTAGATTCTGGCAGTTTCATATCTTATACAATCTGATTTTCGTAAATAAGAATTCTAATGTGTCATTGTTGGTTCTGGTGATTATAGGAGATCAAGAGTGAGTTGAAAATGAAGCAAGACGCACAGATCATTTTGTATAGAAGTTACCGTCATGGAGACCTTCCTGACATCCAGATCCAGTACAGCAGCCTGATCACCCCTTTGCAGGCTGTGGCCCAGGTCCTCCCTAATTGCTGTGTTTTCTTTTCAAAGGTTAAAAGCTGTATTTGCAGCTCTAGAGGTCTACTCTTTATAAGAAAAAATGATTAAGGCCACACTATCATAAACAAGGTCCTAAACAGTAGACTTGTATTAAAGACTGTTCTATATCCAGCTCTGCCATTTCCTAGTTCCTGACTTAGTGTTATCTAGAACTGAGCCCTTAAGCTAGATGTCCATGTCAGGTCAGCTAAAGTGCTGAATGACAGAGTCACCATCTAAAAACAGAGAGTTAAGACCTATTTTTCTCATTCAATAATGTCAGAATGAAATATTGTATAAAAAATCATTATAAACTTTAAAGTGCTAATAAGCCACTTAAATCGTTGTATATAAAATGCTTTGAGAGTATCAGTGAAGTAACAGTTTATCAGTGAGGTCAGTATTCTTTTGTGATTTATTTAGTAACGGGATTAGAAAATAGAGCATTAGGAGGGAATGCATTTTTCTGACTGGTTCTTACTCCAAAGGTCTGATTAAGACTCTTTAACTTTTGGGTCAGGGATTTAGCTCAGTGGTTCTGCCACCTGCCTCGTAAGCAGAAGGACCCGAGTTCAGTCCCTGGTACCAAAAAAAAAAAAAAAAAAAGACTCTTAACTTTTATTGAAATGATTTTTAAAAACAAGTTATATATACACATATATATCTCTCTCATTATGCCATCTGCTAAATTATAACCCCTTATATTGTACTTGTTTCCACTCCTAATATTGATTATAATCATAGATTACATCTGCTTAGCCTTTTATTATGTTTTGCCTTTTAAGCTTTTTGTTTTCTCTGATTAGAGATTGACAAGAATTTGTAAAAATAGTATATAGTACATGAACCCATCATCAGCTTACCCCAGTGGAAACATCTTACATGACTGTGGCACAACATTAAGACCTAGGCATTGATACTGGTACAGCAGCATTACTACAATACAGATCTCGTTCAGGGTTATCATTTCCCCTGCAGTCATGTGGATATGCATGTGCGCCTCATCTCATGTACAGATTCTTGTACCTCATCATAATTTATCTCTTTTCTCACAAAGTGCCTTCTCATTCTCATTTTAGATCCTCCCAAAATCTTGCAACATTGAGGTAGTGATTAGATGCATCCTAGACAAAGGTTAAAGATGATCACAAAGGACAACATAGCAAAAGCCAAAGTTCTCACTGGATGTGGATCTCTCTCTCTCTCTCTCTCTCTCTCTCTCTCTC